ACAATAGTATGGTCAGAAGATGGTCATCTTAAATATCCCAGGGGTCCAATCTTTTTACTTGTTTCTTGTCTTTGGACTTTCAAATTTGTAATGTTTTAATATTTGTTCATTGAGTGCATATAGTGTGCTTGTTCTATAGCTTATTTGTGTTCCATATACTTAATCTGAAAAGTTAAAGAGTCTTATGGATCTAAGAAGCATTTGGCAAGCTTTTAAACTATATTAAAAATTAGTTGCTTTATTGAGTGTGCTAAGTTGCTAAGTGATTTTTTTTTTTAAGAGTACTTGTCAGCAGAAAATGTGCTAGGTGGTTTTAATGCTTAGGTTTAACATTATGTGTCAGCATATCGCCCAATATCCACAGAAGCCACTTTCGTGACAGAGATGGTGGAGCTAAGCTAGCTGATGAGCATTTGTAAATGCTGTCTTAGTTTGCTGTTATATGAGCCATATTGTCCATTAAGGTAAATAGTTGTCTGTAATTATCTATTTACTACTAATACTTTCATCTCGGTTCAGAGGGTCAGAATTGTACCAGGCCAGTACCAAGTGTGACAGTAGTTTAGGGTTATCATGAATCAAACTGAGTTACATTTACATAAACCCCTTATCCAGTGACTGCTGATCGACTATGGATTTGGTCATCTGTAATGTGTCACTAATCAGTTTGAGCATATTTTGATGGGTGAGCTGTTCTGCATGTTCATTTTGCAGGAGCTGATGTTGCTAATGTCTGCAATGAAGCTGCTTTGATTGCTGCGAGGCACCTGTCAGATTCCATAAATCAGAAACACTTTGAACAAGCGATCGAACGCGTGATTGGTGGTAAGGCAGCTGAGTGTAACTCAAGTCAAAAGGCTGATAAAATGAATTCGAGGCCAGGGATTTCTCTGTTTTGGTAAAATCTAGAAGCAGAGAAATGCATCTGCCCACCATGCCCGTTTGGGTCCTGCCCTGTGCTCTCTTGGTGTCACGGGCCCCCTTCCCCTGCTGTCTGCGTGGAGGTCGAAGGTGCTGGCTGAGTCTGCGATGGCAGCTTACGTGTGCGGGCAGCAAGCAGTGACCTCACCCCCGAATTATACCAGTCAAGATTCTATAAAAGCTCACACCCTTCCTGTTTCCAAAAATCTCATCACAGGAATTAAATGTGCTCTGTGCTAGGTACAGGTAATGGGTGTAAAATAACCACAACAGCCGTTTAGCCGGGAGGTGCTCGTTCTCGGCCAGTGCAGTGGGGATGCACACGGCACGTTTTCCTTGCATCCTGTAGAGCTTATGATCTCACCCCTCTGAAACCAGCAATTCAAGTACTTGGGCACTCAAAGGAGGGAAGAGCACTGGCAGGCAGAGCTCCACAGAAGAGGAGGGACATACACTAGTTCAGCAGAAAAGCGAGTGTGCTGTGAGCATGGCCTGAACCAGAAGGGAGTTTGACGGTGATGGTGTCACACCCTGAGTTTAGGGAGGGAAAGTCAACTGGTCAGATGCACATTTCTGGGGGAAGTAAGGTAAAGTTCAAAAAAGTTAAGTCTAGATTTTGGAAAACCTTGAATGCTAAGCTCAAGGGCTTCTTAAATGTTGTCCTGTGGCTGTTACTGAACTAAGGTGGGTTTCTCCTGAGCCACTGAGTGACAGTGATCGGTGGTATTTTCGGAAAACGAATCTGGCTTTGAAGAGGAGGGAAGCATCTGGAGGCAGAGAACCCGTGGCCATCAGCGTAAGCTAGCAGGCATAGCGTGGGGAGTCCGGTGGCAAAGTCAGGACAGACTGGAAGGCCATACAGGGAGATGGGGTGCTCCTGGGCCAGCTGGTTGGGCAGAGAATGAGAGGGGCTGAATTTGAGCCAGGGCAGGGTGTCCACGTGGAACTCTGGTACGGGGTGGTGGTCCCAGGGTGTGCTGGGTGGAGTAGTACAGGTGAGTGAGGATGCTCAGGAAGCACGTTCCCCCTGGGGAGGAAGAGGGGAGATCCGCAGAGAAAACATTGCCCAGTGCCCACATTTTGTAGCAGAGAGGAGAAAAGTGAGTCAGCAAAGGCACCAAAGCTCAATGCCGCGGGCACTGAAGGTGTGTCAGCCACTAAGGCAAGGAAGGGGCAATAAAGGGGACCAGGCAGGTTGGAGGAGCCAGGAGGCGAGGAGGGGCCGTCAGCAGGGGAGGGAGGAGGGCTTCAAAGGAAGAGGACCACTGGGTTTGCTCGTGAGGCTGTTGGGAGTGGCTGTTGACAGGACGGTTTGAGCTGAGTGGAGAGCACAAAGCCAGATGAGTGGACCTTCCAGCGAGGCTGCAGGGCTGGCATAACAATGCGCGTTGCCTGGTAGGCGCCAGATGAACAGCTAATTCCTGAATGAGTTAATTAATAGACCACTTATTCTATAAATTTCATGTCGGGGGAAAAAACCCCTCCCTAAGATGATAGAGTTGTAGATGGAATTAAAATAATTCACTGAAGAGACAGGTAAAAACTGTGTGTGCGCCTTGTTTAGGTCAGGGAGAAGCAGTCAGGGAGAGAGGGAAAGAGGACGGGGCAGCCGGCACACTGGGGCTCGCGCTCGAGGTAGACAGCAGCCAAGCCACCGGCACTTGTTTCGTAATGAGATAGCATACTGAGAGAATGACAAGTTCCGTGGTAAACTGTGGGGAAGTTCTTTGATTTTTCAGGTAAGCCAGAGGTGTTCATCTTTAGAAAACAGAGAGCTTGTTCACTCCCCTTCCTAACTGCTGACCTGGCAGCTCCATGGCATGTACTAGTCTTGGGTTGTATCATTGGGAACGTAGCTTTTTTTCAGTCTTCCAGTTTGCCTAGTATGTTATCAGTTGAGAAATTCTCTCAGATGAGTTACCTAGACCGCAACAAAGCTACTGCTGTCACGGTGTGATGATTTGTGTTGGCACAAAGGATGCAGTTTCTACAGTATAGAGGTATAAGATGAGGGGCGGAGCCCACCTTTATCCAGGCCAGAGAAGACTCGTCCTCAGATTGGCGGTCCTTCAGCTCTGTAGTTGACAGGTGGGCTCCACACGGGGTCTTCTGGTCCCTAGGTCTCCGGGGTTTATCCTCTTGAGGCAGAGCTGACCATCTGAGCCCTCGGGCCGGGTGGTCAGTGTGTCGGTGTCCGGCACTAGCCTGTCGGCTCCGACGAGGCACTTCCAGAGCCTTAGCCCGGTGCTTTCTCTGACTCTGGTCTGCCTTCCGTCAGGAACAGACAGCGAGCGCTTGGTCTCTCATGGCAGGTGTGGTTATCTACCCAGTTTTTGATAATTCTGAATACCTAGACTAAGCAATGAAGACCTTTCCAGAGTTCTTTGTTTTCTATGAATTTTTTATGTTTTAAATTGACCTAAATGCTGAATTTTATTTTACATTTCTATTTGTTTCCCACAACAGGATATGGCTTTAAAGAGCAGCAGAGTTAGGATAAAATAGGGGGTAGGGGGAGTGAGTGCATTTTTACTGTAGTTGGGTATATTTTGAACTAGACCTTGTGCTTTTATTCTGACCTTGATTGGGAATTTCTGAATTGTCATAGGCAGCTCAGTCTTTAAATACCATTTCGGATAAGGCCGTGTGTAGCACTGTATAACTAACTGTCTTTTAATGTCAGTGTCACTAAAACAGTGGTCTGGATTTTTTGTTATTATTTTGGTAGGCTTAGAGAAGAAAACTCAGGTTCTGCAGCCCGAGGAGAAGAAGACTGTGGCGTACCATGAAGCAGGTCACGCAGTTGCCGGCTGGTATCTGGAGCATGCAGACCCACTCTTAAAGGTGAAACAGTGTCACACAGTCAGCAG